AAGAGCATGATCGATTCCAGAGGGATTTGATCTGACCTCTTCCATATGGGTTAACATCGTTAAGTTTTTACTCCGATAAACAACCTTGAATAGGTTAACAGTCCTTGGAGGACTACACATGATCTCTTCCACACAAGTTCATAAGCGAGCAATGCTCCAGCAAACAACCTCGGATGGGTTAATAAGTCTTCTTTGGACTTCTGTTGGCTCCTCTCATACAGATTAACATCGAGTAATACTTTGATGCATAGCCCCATCCAAATCAAAAGCCGTTGGCGATTTATCGCCATGATAACTTTCTCACATACTAGAGCTTCTAAGATATCTTGTATCCACTGTGGAATGAAGAGAAAACATGTTTCAACATTATCATAAAACAATAAATAAAAAGAAAGAGAAGATACTCGGCGGGCAAATAGCTAACAGAATCAAATAATTAAATAAGATGATCCACATGCATTAATCATACAACATTATAGTAACATTTTTAACAACATGACAAAACAAACACACTACAAGCATAAAAGGAGTATAACACAAATCAACGTCACACAAATCAACGTCAGTTCTCCTCCGCCCCCTCATCGTCGTTAAAGAGCACCTTCTTCAATTCACTCTCGATGTCATCACCATCAGAATCTGAGGAAGAATCCTTTGAAGCTTAGCTAGGAGTGAGCCCCTCCACGAAAATTTCGGTTTGACGTTGCACTGCTCGACTACCGTTCAAAAAACCTCGGATGAATCCTTCCTAGGTGAACCACTTTTGTTGCTCTTTTACCTCAACATCAAGCACTTGATCACAAGCCTCTTGAACACGGTCTCAAATTATAGTCTTACACTCAAGTAAGTTTTTAAAATCCTCGACCGTTTTACACTTAACTTCTAAAACAACATCTTTTGCGGACATCAAAAGTCGGATATCTTCTTCTTGGGCTAACACCGTTGACATAAGGGTTTTCACGCTCTTATTACTTTCACGAATGTTGGCTCGTGCATCCACCAACCCCTCCTGAATTTTCTCCAAATCCTGCAGCTGCAACGAGAGGGAATTATTATTGTTGAAAGTTCTGTCATGCATTCTGTCAACTGTGATTCCAGAGATGTAATTTTTTCAACCTCAGATTCATATCGACGTTTGCACTCGCCTTGAAAATATTTGATCTTAACAAAGTCAGAATTTCAGTTTCTCAGTGTCAGTCCTAGCCCCTTCTGGATTTCTGCCATTTTATCCATCAAGAAGAAAAGAAATCTGGGTTAAATAGATAAAATAATACAGTAGCAGAAGATAAAGTAAACTTACCAAACTCTCGTCTTCCAGGAGCCCAGTACATTCATGAGAAAGGATATTCTCGGGAACGTGAATAGTCGAAGGACTTGGCAAGGGCTCTGCAATGTTTTAACTTTCTTTTGTTTCTAAGGCAATACATCACAATCACTGCTCGTTAGGAGCTGGTTTAAGGATTCTACAAGGGCTAGCTCGGATGGTCGCTTAGGTTTCTTTAATACTACAGTCGTAGACCGTTCTAGGTGAAAGGAAAGTTTGACCTCAAACAATGTTTCCTCACTCACAAATTCATAAACATATTGTGTCTCGACTAACATCTCCTTAAGATCGCGAAATATCAGCATGTGCAATATTCCCTCCTCGGTAGTCTGAAGAGAGACGGGCAATTGTTAGAATTTTCCTCGCCTCTCGCGGAGCCCCAATCATTATGTGCAAAGAAAATTCTCACGGACCATTGTCTTATCGGTTTATTTAGGTGGAAATCCAACGTCTTTTGTTTAAACATCACACGATCATGCGTATCACTAAAGAACCTGCACAGCCGTGCCAAAATTGTTGGTGTTAACGTCAACCCACGGCTCCTGAAGAAAACAGTCAACTCAATAATGACTGTCACCGGCCGACGAGACAACTGAGTAATGCAAACACCAAACGCCTTCATAATTTCAATAAACTCAGGTGTCGGTAGAAATCGTAGGCCAGTTCTCAAGGCTGTCTCATGAATAGCGATATACTCAAAAGGAGAATACGCTCGATCAGTTGAAGTTAGCAATTTCACTATTGTCCCTTATAGCGATCTGCTCAGCCATTATAGCGAACTCAAGGCCCACTTTTGTCCCTGCTGCTCGTCCTCGCCTTCTGAACTTATAACTTGTTGAAAGATCAACATATATACCATCTAATGACTATATATTTATATATGTAACAGGTACCCTTTGATTATTTATATTTATCAAGGTTGTCTCATGGCTGAAATCGTAGGATGAAATCGTAGGCCAGTTCTCAAGGCTGTCTCATGAATAGCGATATGCTAAAAAGGAGAATACGCTCGATCAGTTGAAGTTAGCAATTTCACTATTATATCATTCAGGAAATAATACTTCTTTCGAAAAAATATCAAGCCTTTCCCCATCAAAATTGACACGGCATCCTCTGGGTTCTGACTTTTTCTCTGGTTCTCAGCAGAATGAGGTTCTCCAGTTGTAGTTATTTCCGCGACAGTAGACAACAACGTTTCGCCGCGACACTTCACCACAACGCTTCACAGCAACGATTTGTCACAACAATTCACAGCAACGGTTTGCCGCAAAGCTTCCCCGCGACACTTTGCCACAACACTTTGCTACAACTCTTCGCCGCAACTCTGCGTCGTAACTCTTCACCGCTATGACGAATGATTTTCTTTTTCTGGGAAATCCTAAAACAGCTGAGGACTTTACCTCTACCCTCTTCTTCAGACCCCTATTTATAGGCTCAAAAAGAGAATCAAACATTAAATACTCATTATTATATAAATTTAAAAATAAGTGCAAGCATTAAATGCTCATAAAAATTTAAAAAAAACATTTCATATCCCCTCGATATTTAAAAAAAGGAGTCAAATTCTATTAATCTTCTTTTCAAAATTTGAATTCCTCTTTAAATTCTTGATTGGTTTAAATTCTCTAATCTCTTCAAATTCCTTTCAGCGGGCTCAAGCCCACCACCATCCTTTCAGCTTCCCACCATTCGGACTCAGGCCCGCCTCACTTCGGGCCTCCTAGAAACCTGGCTCGATAAAAATATTATATTTTTTGTCTGAGGCGAAATTCGAACCCCCCCTCTCTCACATGAAGCAAAAGATACTAACCAACTAAGCTGAGTTCAACTTTCTATTTATATAAGGATAAAAATTATTTTTTTACTAACTAAGATATATATATATACATAAATACTTTTGATATTGATATTTTCGGACAATAAAAATGGCATAGCCCAAAAATTGGGGGGCAACTGATACGCCATTAACAAATTTTCATCATCTGACACGAATATCGAGGTATGACACAAATCTCGAGATGATATTTTAAATAAAAAACATTCAAATCTTGATAAAAAGTCATCCAGAGCTCTGATTTTAGTAAACTTATAGTCAAACTGACCGGCTCAAAGAGACGTACCTGATGAAATGAAAACTAGCCTAATCCGAGTCAAATCAAGCTCAGACCAAGTCATTGAATCATACTTAGAAGATTTTTTGACATATTTAAAAGGTCAAACAGTTGTCAAATATGACAAGTTTAAACTCGAATCAAACGTCTCGACAAGACGAATCCAACGAGTCCAATATCACTCAATTCTGACATCATTAAGGCACTTAAATGTCCATTAAACGTCGTATAATCGAGGAAAACTCTTCGAACCGTCCGATCAAAATGGTTCATATTTCTGCATTAATTGCACCCAAAACACTATAAATAGAGTCTCATCTCTCTCATGAGAGGAAGCTAGAGCCTAGAAAGAGTCTGAGATCTTGAGGAGAAGTTACAGCTCAGCCAACTTTCAACCGTCGATGATAACCGTCGACCGTGGACAACCACTGCCGACCTCCGTCGATCATCGTTTACCGTTGTCGATCACCGTCGACCATCATCGAACACTGTTGACCTCCGTTGACCTTCACCAACCGTTGTCGACTATCGTTAACCATCATTGATAACCACCAACCATACACTGTCAGTTGAAGCTGTAGTTTGAAAAATATAATTACCCTCTCTCATCTGTGGGACAGGAGAATTTTATAATCATTAATCAATAGTGAATTTTCGCAACTGGGTCAGACCCCGTGATTTTTCTCTTTACAGGTTTTTCACGTAAAAATTTTTTGAGTCGTCACTGTTTGTTTATCTTTCATCAGTGTATGTATTAAATTCTCGTATAATGCTAAGACAATAATTTGTTACTCTACCGTCACGAATTTTCCAACACGCATCATTACTAATACTTTTAAACACATCATATTCTTTTAGCTCAATCTAAGAAAATGGTTGTACTTCGACAAAAGAACTGATGATTTTGGCACCAATTAATCAATTGTTGAATTTTAAGAACATTTTCAAATCTTATATAATGCTTCAATTATTCGCGTTATTGTCTCCATAAGATCCACAAAATTAGCCAACAGTATAGTTTGATTGAAAAAAACAAATTTTGCACCATAAAGCAACAAATTTTACATATAATTCTTAATTTTATGCCTTAATACAAATTTAAAATTTGCCAATGGAGATATTATATGAAGCCATAAATGATTGTATAAGTCCCCAATCATGACACCATAAGAGCTTACAATCCCAAACGGCTAAACTTGCCAAATGGATATCTTTATTGTGACAATATAACTTTATTGTTCAACACAAAACTATTAATCATATAAAGCTATCGATGAACAAAGCCACATCATTCTCTCATCACCATCATCTTTATCAAGATTCCTAAATTTCAGAAAATATAAACCGACCACCTATCTTGCCTTGAATGAATAACAAATTTAATCACGATTGAGATAATGTATTCCAAATCATGAACTAAAAAGGAAGAGAGCGGTCAAAGACCCTAAAACCTCGACAATGTGAAGCTCCTAGAAAGCCTCTAGGAGAAAGGACAAAGGTGAACAAAATGTATTCATATAAGAGCAAGGAACTTTACTTCGCCAAAAACGCCACATTCTTCGTACCTGGTCCCGAGAACTGCTTGCTCAGCAGCCGATTCCATGGAGCTGATGAACTCTGCCTGCAGAGACAGATGTTTTATACCATCTCGACAACCTCTTGCCCAGAGGCAGAGCTCTCAGCTTGCTCCTTATCCCGCCAGAACTCCATTACAGCACAGAGGCCTTGGATTTTAAGCTGCTCAGCCATTATAGCGAACTCAAGGCCCACTTTTGTCCCTGCTGCTCGTCCTCGCCTTCTGAACTTATAACTTGTTGAAAGATCAACATATATACCATCTAATGACTATATATTTATATATGTAACAGGTACCCTTTGATTATTTATATTTATCAAGGTTGTCTCATGGCTGAAATCGTAGGATGAAATCGTAGGCCAGTTGACTTCCCACCCTTACTATTTTTTGCAATTCTCATCCTCGGATGTAGGGCTGTTAATTTGGCTATTTGTTCGCGAACAACTCGTGTTCGGCTCATTAAACAGCTCGTGTTAACGAGTCGAACATGAACAAATTTTTAAGCTCGAAATATAAACGAGCCGAACACGAACAAACATTTGTTCACTTGTGTACGGCTCGAATTGGCTCGAAAAAAATAATTAAATAAATATACACATACATATAATGCATATTCATAAAACTAAATTTATAAATTGTAATTAATTAAAATATTTTAAAATAAAAAAATTTATCAAATTTTAAAAATTAAATCCTATAAATTATAATATATAACAAATTATTAATAAATATTACTTATAAAATATTATATATTTATATAATATAAGTTATATAATTAATATAATATAACATATAAGTATATAACTAAAAAACACTAAGCCCAACGACCTCCCTCTCGAATGCTCTCGAGTTTGGTTGTCTCTCCCTCTTCCGACTCTTCTCCTTCCTCTAAAAATCGTGAAAGGCTTTCGGCCACGAGAGCTTAGGGTTTGTTTTTTTTGTTCGATTCTCTCCTCCTCTTCCGGGTCATCTTCTTCTCCTCTCAAAATTGCGAAAGAGTTTCGGCGAGGAGAGCTTAGGGTTTGCTCTTTCTCTTCCTCTTTTGATTCCCCCAATTTCGGGCCAAACTCGAGCCTGAAAATATTATTCGAGTCGAACACAAACACACCCTTCATAAGTCATTTTGAACGCGAGGCAATATTGAACGAGACGAACACGAGCCACTCAGGCTCGGATTGTTTACAGTCCTACTCAGATGTGCACCAAAATTTAAATCGCTCCAAAAAGCTTCTAACTCTCAATATGTTACAAAAAAAATTACCCTCATAAGTTGTGCCTAATAAAAGGCTCCCAAAGTATAAAATATATCACTAATAAGAAGCTAATCTATTTCAAAATTTAGTGTATGAAGGATGAAACGATTATCTTTTGACCTAATAGTTTGCAAAAGGAGTGGCCATCATGATAGGACAATTATGATAAAAACTTTTGGACTATGTGGTTTGCCAAAAGCTACAAGGTGTCATTCTACTGTGATTAGTTCCCAATATCTACAAGTTTTTTTGGTGGAATACATTTGGGCTTTTAATAATGTTACATATAGAGCTGTTAACGATCTGATTTCAAGTCGAGTCGAAGTCGGCTCGAAAAAATTTGATCCAAAATTTTGGCTCGTAGCTCGGCTCGTTTATTTCAATCTGATCTTGATCTGAACCAAAATTCGAATTAACTTTCAAGCGATTAATGATCTTCGAGCTAAATTCACAACCCTTGTTGCATATATGTAATAGAGCAAATAATCCCTCTATTGGCTAATGTTAAAAAAAAATTTTTTTGTGATGTCTTATTAAATCTTATCAAAATACATCATAAATTTTGCATGTTATAGGTGTGCTTTCAATTTCCAAATGTACTATATTAAACAAAACTATTAATACTAAATTAAACAAAATATTAAAAATTTTATGGAAGGTGAATGATTCATGCACCGACAAGTTAAAACTATATATTCTTACATTGTAATTTGTTAGTTTCCTCCACTTGAGTAACCGAGGACTCTACCAAAGTTTTCATAGGTAGAGATAGAAAATTGCAACTTTTTATGAGAATCTATATTTATCTTACAATTCAAATGAAAAAAATATAATATGAAAATGCCAACATAAATAAGTGATATTGGTTAAAATAACTTTTAGTTCTTTGTTAATATATCTAGTTTGAGTGTACTTATCTTCAGTCAAATAACTTATAAGGTGGATATTTTTATACATAAACTTAACTTTCATTGTTGTGATAGCATTTTGAGCTTCATCTTTAGATAAAAAAAACACATATTTATGAGGCCTTGGTTACTTCTTTTAGATTACCTTAGTATGAGATTTTGCATGCTTATTCTTCGAGCATTGACCTATCAACTTTTTATTGTTTTTACAATAAAAAAAACTCATATATAATCAATAGCAATTTCAATTAGATGATTATTCCCATGATTTGCACATTGATTATCATTTGGATTGTGTTATATCTTTCTCTAATACAGTAATTTGAACATTTTCTTACTTTTCATTAAGAAAAAATGTTTTAATTTTTCTTTTGAGCTTTCATGTCTATATTTGTTCTCATCCTTAAATAATAAATGATTTAATATTGTGCTCATTGTACTCCCACCTGATAAAGTATGCTATCTCTTAGTCCAAGTTCAATTTTTATTTTTTTTATCCTCCTTGATTAATACCCCTTAAAGGATGAACTTTAACACTTCTTCAGATTTAATCTCAAGTTATAAAATTAAATAACTACCTTCATGAAGCCAAAGAAATTGAGTTTCATTAATCGTAACAGTGTTTTTAAAAGTATTAATCATAGCCTGTTATTCATCAACCTCCATTCCATGCATAAATATTGAAAAATTACTATTTATTTTTTTTTTACCCCCAAAAAAAGTCAAAGATTTAGTGGAATAATTCATTCTTCAACAAATTTAAGATTAAAACAGAACTCATTTTTGGACAAACATAAGATTAATAACTCTCACGAACTATAGTGGTTTAAATCTTTGGAATGTCTCTGGAATGTGTTCTCTTATTAATAACTTCTCTTAGGATAAAACTTCATTTATTATTGTCAAGCTTTATCAACTAGGTGGCTTACAATAAATATCATGGAAATTCACACAAATAAATATTTTTATACAATAGTGTTAAGGGTTACAACATGATATAATATGTATATTACTTATGACATAACTAAGATCAATTCTTATTGTAACTATTATTCATTCATGAGTATTTCTCTTTGTTCCTTGTTTCACATCTTAAATATCAAAGTATAATTTTATCATAGCATTGTTGCATATGGTGTTAGGATTTAAATGTAATGGTATTACTTCATTAAGCTACGAGTCAGGGTAAACCCCTCTATCTAGTATGGTTTAATATTTGAAATATATGTCATGTGTGTTAGTTAAAAGCAACTATTAGAACTCTAAGGAGATAAGTAGGGTGGTTTTAGCTTATAGGCACATAAAAAGGAGATGAATTTTGTTCAACTAGTAAGAAAACTAATTTCTACCAAACTAATACCCTCATAATCAAAAACACATTTTTCTCTTATTAATAACTTCTCTTAGGATAAAACTTAATTTATTATTTCCAAGCTTTATCGACTAGATGGCTTTGAATAATTATCATGGAAATTCACACATACAAATAAATTATACAATTAAGTTAAAGGTAGAGTATGATATGTTATGTATATTACTTATGACATCACTAAGTTAAACTTTTTATCGTAGCTATTATCCATTCATAATTGTTTCTCTTTGTTCCTGATACGTCTAAAAATGTACTATTTTTCATGTTTTATTTTATAATGATATTGCACTTTAAATGTATGTTTTCTTGTGTTTTTGGTTGTAGGTACATCAAATTGAAGAATTTGGAGTGATTGGAGTAAAAGAAACAAAAATGGACCAAAACGGAGTAAACTGGAGCAAAAACGGAGTAAACTGGAGCAAATCAGGTCAAATTGGGGCACTTAAGTGCCCAAATATGGCGCTTAAGTACCACCAGACAGAGAGGGGGGGCGCTTAAGCGCCCAAAAATTGGCCTTTAGACGTCGGTGATGGTTTTCAACATATCTTCTAGAATATACGTCAGATTTGGACGATTTTTGAAGCGGTGCTTCGTGCATCTCTTGGGGACTTTGTTGGAAATGAGAAAATTGACTTTCTAGAAGAATTTTGGGTGGTTATATGGAGTTTTGAAGAGGCACTTCAGACACCTTTTAGAAAATTCATTGAATCTAGACACTTTTGAAATGACACTTAAGCACCTCTTAGGAAATTATAAAAAAAGGCTTAGAAATGTTTTTAAAATGACTCTTGCACTTTCGAAGTAATTAGAAGATGAGAAAAGGACTTATAGAAGAAGAAGAAGGCTTGGGCGTGAGCCCCAAGTGGGGCGACGAGGTGAGAGAGAAAGAGAGAGTGTGATTTTCTTCTTTTCTTTTCACTTTGTTCTTGGAGAGGATTGTAAGGAGATTGTTTTTGCTATACAATGAGAGTTTGATTTCTATCAGAGATAAGTATTTTCATTGTATTTTGATTTGAATTTAGTACTTTTTTGTATGGTTTCAAAGTCTTGTTCAATGAAAAGTTCTTGTTGTTTCTCCATATGCAGTGAGTAGTTTTCTTTACTCTTCCCTCTTGTAATGAATTAGTACGCATGTGTAGGATATAGAGTTGTGTAGAGTGAGAATATATTATGATGATTTTGCTTTTTTCTTCATTTACATGTAAACTTGATAAACTTGCATGTTAAAATATGTTGTGAGATGTTGTGAGAACATGTATGTGAGAACATGTAAGATCTGGGATGGTGTTGTCTCAATCAACTGTGGTAGAATCATATGAGATTGTATAGATAAGAATATAGTTCATATGGTTGAGTACAAATAAATAGAGAAATAATCTTTAATGGGTGTAGAATGAGAGAGCTTTAGAGTGACAGGCTAAAGCCCCCTAATTTGGTCTGTTGTTTTAGGTTTTGATGCGAGACGTTAGCCTCCAGGTGGAGGGATAAGAGGAAATTCTAGAGTGAGAGCTAGTATCTTCCCTGCCTAACTCGTCTTCAGAACTATTCAAACTTTAGATTAACCAATATTTTTATAGCATCTCTAGTAAGGGTAAAGAATATAATTGCTCATATTTGTCACAATCTCTCTCACAACTTGTTTTATTTTTACACATGTCATTAATTTCATTTCATGA